GCCCGCCCGCGCGATTGGCTCTTGTTTTGATCGAGTGATTGATTAGAGATTTTGGATGCGTCAACTGCTAAGGTCATTCGCGTCGTGTAGGGCTTACACTTTCTTAAGGACATTCGCATCGTAAGTTTAGGGCTTGCGCCTTCCTCGGAAGACGCTGGTGATCTTCCTCCCTCACTGAATGGCGATATCCGGTGCCGACCTACACGTCGCCTAGCGTCCGTCTTCTCCAACCAGGTATCTCCCATCAGCGAGGCACCCATCCATTTGGAACAACCTCTAAGCTCCCGACTGACCTCCCGGAATGTTTGGTCTTATTGTGTGTGTGTGTGTAAGGGGGTGATGAAAGAACAAGAAAGAGGAAGGAAAGATCGTGCGTGGAGAAACCTTTGTTAGGGTACTGGTCCACCATTCAGCTAGTGTTCATCGGAGAAACCCAAGGAAAACTACTGATCAGAGCAGCCGTTCGCTAGTATGCGTCTCCCGACAGCGGCTATATTCGATCTAGTTGATAAGCTAAGCTGTCATTGGTCTTTCGATGTATTTTGGAATCAAAATGTATTAGTAAGTGTACGAATTAATAAACGTTTCACCTTGTAGTAACAGTCCAAAGTCCGTAGGTATGCATCTGTGATAGGTCCATTAAGACTAAACGAAAATGTTGTGTGGGTCTCGGATTCCGTACGAGCCAATCACGGAGGGGTCGGAGCTCTGAGATACCATCAATATTAGACATAGGCGTGCGCACTGGGTTGGGGACCCTCCTGAAAATTTCGAAAGGGACCCAATAATCCCCCCCCAATGAAACATTTTATTTCCGTAAAAATTATCTATTTATATTCTCTCTTGTTTTAAGCTAGTCGTTTGGGGAATTTATACACGACATTTGGAGAAAAAGCTCTCCAAAACCATCTGGCAACTCTGTAAATGATTAAACATAAAGTCAATTATATTTATTAATTGTATCAGTAAAGTCGTTAAGCCATTCTAACTGTAGTGTTTTTTTTCGTAGTAAAAAAATATTTAATATAAATTAAAAGTTTAATGGAAAAGGGGGATCAGAGGGGAGCAGAAATGAAGTTGCCCCTCTTGTCAAGGGCGCACGCCTATGATGTTAGGTGAGTCCATTCAGAAATGGTGAGTTGATACAGAATGACGATATGATCATGCTTTCTGGAAAGTTAAGTGACGCATTGTCTCCTCCTATTATCCACATGATTCGAGACACTAAACTTTCCGTATCATATCGGAAGTCAGAAAAGTCCGGAAGAATTTCTCCTGCTGTCAATGAAGTTTTTTTGATGAAGTACAGTAGTAAAACAGTATTGCTTCATTTCATGTTAAAATGCCAAGTGAGAATGCATAGTCAAAAGAAATGCAGTGCTCCGAGTAGGGGAGGTAGTAAAGCTCGAAATACATATTCACATAGCTCACAATCACAGTAACACACAGAAGCAATAAGCTGATTGAGTTGCAACTTAACCAGGAGAAAGACATGCACAAAAAAACAGACAGCAAGGAGAAAACACGCCGAAGGGCGTCAAAAACTCGTATGTTTACATTCATACATACATAACATTACATTTGAATAGTTTGTCTGAGTGGGGGTGGTTGTAAACGATAACATCCTCACAAAAGCTCCATTTCCGAGTTTAGCACTCTCCATTCTGCGGTGAAAATTGAACCTACGCGGTCGATATTAGAGTGATGCAAACAGAGTACGAGGAGCGTTTTAATTTCGGGCTTGCATTTAAACTGGAATGTACATATTTCCTTCTTCATAAAGACTAATATTCCTCACACCATCCGCTGCTCTAGGGGCATAAAGATCGTATGACACCTCCAAACAACCCACTAAGTTATTGTTTACACCCCCTCCACGTTTTTCATTCTCGAGAGAGAAAGATAGGTTTCCACAGAGAGGTTTAATAACCAGACAACAGAGCATGCGTCACACACCGCATGCTAAACCACACACAAACAGTCCTTACCCTCGGTCCATTCCCACTAAGCCGTGATACTGCATGCTGGGAACCAGAAACATTTTGTTACACAACGCTCTCCCGCACTACGACCGGCCGGGCTGGGCTGGGGGAAGCCATACCACGGGGGCGCAGCGCGAGCCATTCGTTAAGACCATGCCAGTCATTCCCTTGCACTCCATGGCAAGGCGGATCATCTCGCAACAGATGCCGGGAATTCATCTGACATCATGAATAAGTTATATCCAAACGGAGAAAACGTTTGTGAAAATGACCGATCTTGATGAACAGGTCTAATAGGGCGACCTCCTTCGTTACCGGCAAATTTGTCGCAGAAATTTGAATTTTACTCTTTAGCAGTTGACAAATTGTGCTTGCGGTCATGTACGGCAAGTAAAGAGGGAGGATGCAAGTTTCTTGAAGAAATTCAATAATAAGTTATATCCAAACGGAGAAAACGTTTGTGAAAATGACCAATCTTGATGAACAGATCTAACAGGGCGACCTTCATCGTCACCGGCGAATTTGTCGCAGAAATTTGAATTTTACACTTTAGCAGTTGACAAATTGTGCTTGCGGTCATGTACGGCAAGTAAAGAGGGAGGTTGCACGTTGCTTGCAGCAATTCAGATATGTTTGTGTCTATCCATTTACAATATGAATCGAAATTTTTCTACAGTGCATTCTCACGCATTGTTATTTAGATGATGACCATTGAGTTACTGCAATTTGCAGTCACATTCTCATTAAATCTAACGCATTTGTTGCATGATTGAACACATTACATCGTTAAAACAGCTTTTACAATCAAATTTCGTTACTACTCCTACTTCTTATTGCAATTATGTCAATGAGCATTTCCCGTTCCAGGTATTGATTCTCGGACATTTCATTTTCAATCGTAACACTGCTGGCGGCACTGAAGGGCGTCCGGTTGAGACGAGTATTTCTGAACGAGTCAATTAAAATTATCACAATGAAATAAAAAGGTATTCCTAAGTCGCTGAGAAGGCAATTTGTGATATTCATGACAGAAACAAGTAGGTTGTTTTTGTTCTTCAGGAAAGGTACAGTAATTAAATTCGCAGTTTAAAAACTATTACGTAAATATTTCCTTAGAATATGAATAAAGTTCTAGAAAGTCTACATTGATATTAAAAACGGTTTCAACTAAAATCCGCGTCTTTCATCATCTATTTAAAACTTTCATATGAATAGTGCAATTATTACAGTAAATTATTCTCGGTAATGCTCGAGGGTAACGAAACTCCATTCAAACGCGAATTTTCTCTCATAAAATTATCTTTTCAATAAGTTTTTTTAATCTCTTAGTTGAACATAACTTTAGAAATCTTAATCAAGTTAAATAAGCGAACATCGTGCGTCTCCCTTGGCAAAAGTAATTAAAAGCACCGAGTGCTATTAAGGACGGCCGGACGCTTCATTTCTAATTTTAGAAAGATTTATTTTAGGAGTGCCTTTCACTCAAACTCCTTGCGAAAGAAATTACAAAAGCTGTAATTTGCTTTCACAGGGATATTCAATCCTTCGGGTTTTTTAAATTATAGGTAGAATGTTGGCATGATCTTAACAATTAAGGTTCTGGATAGTCTAAAACTATTCTATAATCTTAAATGATACGCTTCTACGTTGTAAACTTAACAATGCTATTGAAAATAGCTTTTGTACAGCCCTTTACAGCACACAATTTAATGTGAAAGAGGAACTTATTTGGTGAAAGGAGAAACGATGCACAAAAAGCATTTTCAAACTTCGTTTTAACATTACCCATACCACCAATCAGCAAATGAATGCGTTAAGGAACGATTACATCGCTCATTCATTGTATTAAAGAGTGCGCTCAAAACACGAAGCAAATTTAGTATTACACAAAACCATCAAATTTATTGTCGTCTGACACTTCTGAATTTAAGAACTTTAACAATTAAAAAAAGAAACATGAGGCCCTAAATGTTTTGAATTAAAATCTTTTTTCAAATTTAATTTTTAACATGGATCTGTAGTTCACAACTCTCTTTTTCTCAAGAATTTGCAGGTGATATTACATATATTGTTTTTCAGAACTCTAGCAAACGCATGAAGGAGCGAGTGCGAAAAGATATGCAGCTACCGAGTCGGTGCTGTTGCGAGTAGAAATGTTTGGAACTTGTAAAAGTGAAATTATGCCTTGAAGCCTCCTAGTAGTCAATGAATGCTTAATAGAAAATATGACGTAAAAATTGATATGTTGATTTTGAGAACACACAAAAACGTCATCGAGAGAGTACGCACTACTGCGTTTTTGCATTATCAGCATTTAATTAATATATTTTATTTATTAATATTATTTCCGTTAAACGAAAAATCATAAAATATTCTTAGTAATTATTAAAATTCTTGCAACACCTAATTTTGCACATATTTCCAGAAACGCACTGGAAAAAATTAATCAAAATGTTATGCTTATAAAAAAATCAAATATCGTATTTAATATTTAATACATTAGCTTTTTTAAACTCATTAACTCCAACATAGAAGTAATTCCTTATTTAAGTATTCACTTCTATAAAGATAGGTATTGGTTTTATAACGTATCAGTGATTTCCTTTGGTTTATAAAATACATATACTGAATAGAGAGAAGTTTTAGAGAACACACCAAGAAAATCTTAGGTCAAACAATTTATTACGTCCAAGAATTAAAAAAAACAAATTAGTTTTCAACTGCAACATTGACGATCGAAATACTATCGACAACAGTGGCTGCATATCAGAGTGATAGGGATCCAAACTCTTAAGCAATACACAGCAAGTGTCCAAGGAGCTTGGCAATACGCGGGCCCGCAACAGCCAAAACCATTCCATTGGAAGAGTTCGGCCGATGTTCAACATTTTTACCCATAGCTATTATTTTAATGACTGCAACGAAAATCATTGTTTTCTGTCTTGATATAATGATATTATGAGTATTGTAATATATCGGTTTTTAAGAGTAAGTAAATCTTCAGTAAAATTGTTTAACCGCTCATCACTATGATGAATACATACTTACTGTTTCTGTACTATAAACACAAAAATACTTCGTTTTTAATCATTACATTTGTTAATTTTAGATGCCAAATCAACACTGTAAATCTATCAGTTTGTCTGGTTTGTATTATGGTGTTGTCAAAACTATATTTTTCGCTCACACAGCTCAGGTCTCAATACTCATCCATCAGAGCCTTTGCATTATTTGGGTAGCGGATACGTACCTTGACCCAAAACGGACTTGTATTCAGAGCCCTGCATTCTGAGAAAAACACCCATCCTCCCTATGGTTCGCTCCGCATCGCTAACTTTGCGACCTGATGCTTCTGACCTCGCGCTGGAAACCGATCAGAGCCAAATTTTTCCTAGCCTTCGGTTGTTTTTTGTAGTTTGCACATTCAGATATTGACGATGTTGGTGTAGTGTTTCTTGAGAAAGTTTATTAAAAAGCATATTCTGAAAAATCTGTTGCGACCGACGGCGACCGACGGCGACCGACGGCGACCGACGGCGACCGACGGCGACCGACGGCGACCGACGGCGACCGACGGCGACCGACGGCGACCGGTGGATTCCGGATTCAAAATAGATTCAGGTAGGGCAAGTTCCTTCCGGTCTTACTCCGATCGCTCGCTTGTATCACCCTGAGTTGCGGTGGGCTGTGTTTCTCAGAATGGAGAGGTCAACCTAGTACCTCCCGACCGTCAATTAAGAGAGACCACTCCCCCATCGGCCGAACCCTCTCCCCTCTCCCCGGGCGAGTGCAAGGGGCGCGCGAGGCCACGTGTAGACGAGGACGACATACGTACCTCTCGCTCTCCTCGAGCGCCTTGCGGTCCTGCTCGGCGCGCTGCTGGTCCTGCTCGGCCTCGCGCTGGCGTCGCTCCTCCTCGAGCTTCTCGCGCTTGCGCATCTCCTCCTCGACGCGCCGCATCTCGCGCAGCGCCGCCGCCACCTCACGCGCGAACGCGCCGCGGAGGTGCGCCTGGATCACGACGGCCGCGCGCCGCTGCTGCAGGAAGCGCAGCCGCTGCTTCCAGCCGCGGTACGCGTGCTGCACGCGCAGCGCCGCGCCGCGCACGCGCAGGTACTCTGCGGGACACGCGACAGCCAGCATTAGCCAGCAGACACACACACACACACACACACACACACACACACACACACACACACACACACACACACGCCTCGATTTAGAGTACCAGCTCTTAAACATATACAGTAAAATCTATCTATACCGGAACCTGAACAAGCCGGAAAAGTGCCTCAAACGTAAAATTTCTCCGGTCCGTGGATTTAAATGGCATTTTGAACAGCATGAAACGAAACCTGTCCAACGCGGAAACGGGTCAGTTTTTCATGACCTACCGGAAAGAAAACCTCTATAAAATGGAATTCCTGTGAATTTAAAAACCATTGACAGAATACATTCATTTTTTTATCAATACCGTAATTCTCGTATCATAATTCTATACCTATGGCGACAGTCATTTCGGTCTATATTCAATATACTAAGGCTAACTTCACACAGTACCGCTCGGCAGCGCCACTGAGGAAGTGCCGGGCCCTTCACACAAAGCTCCCGATCAGCGCCACGGAGCATGAGAAAGACAGGATTCCAGAGTCGCCTTTGAGAGGACCGGCGGCGGCAGCATGGATGTAAACTTGCTAACAACAAAGCCCAGTACTATCAATAAATCCTTAGCAAAATTAAAATGTTTGTCCCACAGATAGTATTGAGTCTATGGTATAATGCGTAGATTAAGGCCTACTTTTTGAAGTTCAGTACGAAACCATTTTCACTGTTAAAACAAAATATACAGTGCCAAATATTTGCATTGATCCAACTAGTCTTTCTCTCAAGATTGGAACAAATTTAATAATATTTGTCACCAATCTAAATTGTCCATATTCTCTTCAAAACTAATTAGTAATGTACTTTACTACTACACACTTTCACCATTTAAAATCTGGTGCAAATAAATTGCGTGCTTTAGGAGCAATGACTATCCAAGCAAGCAACTATGGGTCTCGCGGTGTGCGAGTACTGTACAAGTAAAGGCAGTTCCCCAAATTGAGTAATACTCTAACGCCACCTATACTCTCAATCGAGTAAAATCATACTTCGTTAATACCAATATGTACACTTCTTTATACGTGCATAACCCAACTCTCTCGACAGGGTTAATAATCTATAAGAAATCTACATGCAGCGATTTTGTAAAGAATTCAATAATATCCATAATAAAATCCTCAACTGCAGAATATTTTTGGGAATGCTAAACTTTCATTCTCCTTCACTCTTATGTTTTTCTATTTTGTGAATAAAATGAGAATACTTTACAAAACCCAACAATCATTGAACATGTATTTTTACACGAGGGTCTTCTTAAATGTGAACGCACCAGCAAAGGAAAGTTTGCCGAGGCCAGAAACGCGAAGTAATTTGCCTCAAAATGTACTATAATTGCTCATTAACAAAGCATAAGGTACATGAAAAGGATTTTATGCGGCTTTAAGGGTAGCTGCAAGGTTTTTATCTAGGCTGGCCTCCATTGCTGTAATTAAAAGTTGGAAGCTTCAATATTTTCGGAGAGTTTTCTCTACACCGAAATGAGCAAATAATTAAGTTATGCTCTTTCTCTTCCCACGGCACAGTCCTAATTACCTTCTCATCTAACTTGGTGTACTTCCCTCCACCCTCTGACGCTGCTTCTCAGAAATGCTGCGTAATGCTCTAAGAATAGAATGTACGAGAACGACTATCAAACCAAATACTGGATCACCAAAAGTTTAACCTACAACCAACAATGGAAGAACAATGGAACAATCAGCCTAGTATAAAATTATATGCTTAACAAGGCCACTCAGATATCGAATTCAAACACTGAGACGACTGAAGTTTTTTTTTAAGTGTGCTCTTTACAATTTTCTGAATTCTGTTCTTGACAGTGATTCTTGGCCATTAGTGAACGTACTTTATACGTAGCCTTGAATCAATAATGTAAATTCCTCATGTTAAATTTTAATGTAGTACTTCGGCAGTATCACGTTGTCAATCGATTATAAACATTTGAATGAAAGCACTTGGTAAGTACCATCCAATAATCATTTGGCAGAATGCATAACTTATTTTATTAACATTTTCTCGCTGTTTTATAATATTGTTAACTTAGCTAGTGGTGGTTCCGGCACTGCTTCGCTATTCTAGAGTATTACACGTGGCACGCTACTCACGTGACTGTTCATCACTTTTTATGTTACGGTTTATGCTATGGAACGTTCAAGTAATATCGAGTGTTCAAATTCCGTGCTGTATTTCCCTATCCCAGGAGCAGAATCTGCAGCTACAATCGTGCTTAATACTTGACGGTGCGGCGGGTTGCCTAGCGGTTTTTGTCAGTAAACTAAGCGAATTGTACATTAGTGGGAAAACACGCATCACCTTTCACACAGTCTGCAACATAATCCTGAAAATACCGCACTCGATTTGTAAATATTGAGCAAGTTATGGAGGTAATGATATCAGATACATTATAGAATTCCATAAAATATATGATTACTAATTTATACGAATATTTGTTTAACATTTTTGACAGCAGATTAATTAGGAAAACACAATGTCCGTTTTCTTCAGGATATGCGGATTTTTTAGCACTACTTTAAACGCGAGTCGTCAACAACCCTTACATGTCCGATTTAATTCAAACCTGTCTTTAAATACTCCCAATCGTAATAAGAACAAAGTTTTAAAATTTCAGCCAAATCAGTCGAGTAATTTTTGCGACTATATTTGACAGATCTCTGCACCTTCCCTTTACTTATATATAGATAATACATACCACGCGACAAAGGTGGCGTGGCATCATTAGGAAACTTCTGTAATGTCAGCATTTGTTCCAGATATTGTTCAAACTGACTGATGCGACGAGTGCACATACTCGAGTGATATGTGTACATACTCTTACAACACATCTTCTCAAATAGTCTTAAAAGTAACATTCAAAATCTCTTACCCGTGAATAATAATAATAATAATAATAATAATAATAATAATAATAATAATAATAATAATAATAATAATAAAGAACGTTTTGGCCCTAAGTGAAACATTTCTTGAGAGTATAAAATTTGCGAGCAAATAACTATTTTTAGGAACTAAAAACGAATATACGGAATAAGAGTAAGGATAACAGTAAGTGTTAATTATAAGAAAACACAATGTTTTTATATCACCTTCTGGAATGAAAGAAAAAAATCTCACATTCTTCATGTGAAATGCGGGCATAGTTCCCTATTATTGGAACCGAACAAAGAAATATAGTCAAGGATTTCTATTGACTTTATACTAGAACGCTTAATACTTAATCTACCTCTACTTCATGACTATAATTACCCTTGTTAAAGAAGAGCCATAACGTCAAAAAGTTATTGCTCCGACTTGGAACTACTTATTCTGTCAGCGAAATCCTGTAGTTTTTTGCCGTATGTGGCCTATCGCCTTCAGTGGGTTGAGAGCTGGCGTGGGCGTTGCGACTTACCTCTACGCTTGCGTCGGCCGCGCCAGAAGGCCTGGATGCGGGTGGCCATGGAATTCACCACCTGGCTGCGACCGTCCTCCAGCGGCTCGTGCGCGCAGCCTCGCAGGAACACCTGCGGCGAGTCAAGGCGCAACACTTCACAAATGCAAATATATAAAACTACATTTAACTATATATATATATATATATATATATATATATATATATATATATATATATATATATATATACGAGTATACAACTATATACAGCATGTTCTGACAACATAATTTTTCTATTTCAGGAACTAGAATCACTGGTTGCTGTAGAAGACTGCCAGTCGATATTCCCAATTTCATCTTTACTGTTCTCTCAAAATGCTGATGACTATTTTGAAGCCTTAAAACTAAATTTAGTTGTTTCACTAATTTTCAAAATGTTAAAATTATTCCATTCGTATAATGTCAGTTAATACGGATAGAAAAGCTCGTGGATTATGAATGCGAGTCTGGTCTGCGATCTAATCTTGAAAGAAGTAATCTTCGACCATTCTATTGATTTTAGTTAAATCCTCTCGAATGTAAGCAAACCAAACTCTTCTAAGTGATATGCGTATAATTCGATTTAAATGTAATTCCTCATTCATACCTTTCTCGAGTAATATCTGCAGGGATCACATGTAAAATATACTTTGGCGGTTAAAGAACAGAGGGCTTTCTGACAATTTGGCTAAGATCACACAGCCCACAACTGATGTACTATTTACCCATAAGTGATTTAATTGTTTAGCAAAGAAGTCACGTTACGGAAACGTTCGCAAACTTGTATAATTGCAATAAACAAATTAAATTATTAATTTTGTACTGAATCGGAATAAGTCCCGAGAAATCATTAAAAACCCAGACGCGATTATTTTATAAGAAAAAAAAATAACTATCTGCCGACACGAGTTTTTGAATACACGTTCATTTACATCTCATAATGCTAATCATTTGTTACCAACTCCGTCTCGTGACAATTTTGAAATCTCCAAATAACGCATCCAAACTAGAACAATAAAAATTTTAGGATTAACAATGCCTTCTTCCCAAAAGTAATTTTCACCCGTCGCACCTCCCCCTCTCGCTCCCTCCGTCGCCCCTACCTCCCTCTCTCGCTCCCTCCGTCGCACCTCCCCCTCTCCCTCCGTCGCCCCTACCTCCCTCTCTCCCTCCGTCGCCCCTACCTCCCTCTCTCCCTCCGTCGCCCTTACCACCATCTGTGGCGTGGCCTCACCTTGGTGCGTCCGCACTGCCACTCGGTGCGCTGCACGCTGAGCGCGGCCATGAGCGCGCGCACGGCGTCCCGCTCGTCGCCCGTGGGGCGGCGCTTGGCCAGGCAGCGGTAGCGGCGCAGGAACTCGCCGAAGGGCATGTGCACCGGGTAGCCCTCCTTGCGGATGCGGATGATCTCCAGCATGCCCAGGTACTTCAGCTGGTCCAGCACCAGCTTCTCGTTGTAGTTGTTCGGGATCTTTTGCATGTTGGGCTTGATGCAACGCACGTACCTGCGAAAGGAACGTGATAAGCGAAGCTCACCTTTTTCGATGCAATCGTTTCAAGCTGTAGCGTCGCTGAGAAATTTACTTTTTTACTCGAACCCCAGAAGATGCGTGATGGAGAAGTCCCAACCATTGGTATGAAAATCATCAGCATCACTATCATAGTGTTTTTTTTTTTTAATTTATTTCGATTCAATTCGTCTCATCGTACTATACCGAGGATATGATTAGCCTAAAATATGTTAGAATAGAACTCTTTAGAAGTAGGTATACTAAGAATATTCGAAATTCAGTAATAATTACATTCAGTAGCTTATGGACAAAGTTGAACCGTTGTTTTTACCGAGTTATAATACGAATAGCAACATTTTGCATGGATATTTCAGTTTTAGGTGTAGATACCATGAAGTTTATCCCCATCGTATTAAATTACATTTATTGTTAGTAACTCCATCACGGCCATGAACTTTAAGACCTGAAATGCCTTACCTATAATTCGATGCAGAACACGTATTTCAAAACGAGCTCCTATCTATTCTGCGACTCATTCATTATTCAATGCCCGTTTTCCATCTGACCTCCCAATGATTTCTTTATTCGGAAGTCCTACTTCGAAATGCAATGTGCATGGTTTTATTGCAGGCCCTGCTGTAATTCCATTAGAAAGACCTAGAGACCAACATTTTAAATTGCACGTTGGTAAATCCCCCCCCCCCCCCGTCCTCCTCCGAGAAGAGTTCAGTCATGCCGTAACAGGAAGGGGCAATAAACCTATTTTATTATTTCACGGAACCGTAATAATCAATGATCCCCTTCTCAAACGCGTAACGTTCCAACGAGAAAACCCCGCGGCGCAAGTAATTAACTCAGCGTGCGCCAGTCGATAACCGCATCAAGAATTAAATGATCAATGGAGTGATTAAGCGAACTCTCGCTGACAAATGAACTGACGAACGGAACATTTCATTTTCACAAGCGAGAGCAAATACTGACCCTGGGTTGATTAACTAATAAACTATCGAACAAAGGTCACGACAATTGAATATAAACGAGAGATGAGTACCAACGATTTCTAAAAAGGGTGGTTCAAATTACGAAGACTAAAACTTTGAAGAATTTTATCAATTTGAGAAATGCTTAGCCTATTAATGAGTTGCATTATTTTTACACATTTCTGGAGTACACACTCTTCTTCTTTTACAAATTTGTATTATTTTCCTACACACATTTTTACATATTCTACGCACGAAATTTAGGCTTTGTACGTTCGAAACATTTGCTGTAGAAGGAAAAGCAGTATTAAAATCTTACTTTCATGTGCGCATGAAAATAAGTAAAAAAATTTATTGCAATTGATATTTTTTGAGTTAATAAATTCAAAGAAACTGCTTCTCTTTCGATTGCCAAAACATTTGTCTGATTAGTTTCTTGGGATACTTTCTCAACACTTGATCACGGCGTCAATCGTGGCTCGGATTGGGCACAATGAATTGCTAAACTCATGTTGAATGTACAATTTATATAAGAAATTTCTCGGTTCTCAACCCGAAGCATTCAATGACTGCTTTAAAGATTAAATTCACCCCTTCTGTTCACGTTTGCGAGTAGGGATGCGACATTGACGCCGATTAACCGACATCGATGAACCGATGTATTAAAAATCGATTAACTGAAACTGATGTTTTTTAAACATAGATTATTTTACATTTTCAATGTTATGTTCGGGGATGAAAGATGTCCATAAACAATTGTGTGAAAAATTAAAACTTGAAATAATAACTAATGGTACTACTGACAATGTGTGTTCTCCAGAAACGAATGCGGTTTGTAACTACCTTTGTGGAGTAGACCTCGCTTCAAATGATCTATTTCCTTCGTGTTTCCTTGTATTTCGCATATGGAGAGGCGTTTTAACTTTGTTTTCGGTTAAATTTTGATTATAATTTAATATGCATGGACACTGTCAAGTTACATTTTGTTGAGCACGAAATTAATGTGTAGATGTTACTAAACAAACTGTAAAATATGAATGTTTAAGAACATCGAAGGTGTTTCGTCGTTAGTTTATTAACATCAATGTTTTTGATTTTGAACATCGATGCTAGGCAACATTATGTTTAGTTGATATCGCATACTTGTAAGATGATACTTGTAAGATGAGACTCACCAGGGGTTGGTGGCCTGCAGGACATCCACAAGCGCCTGCAGCTGATGGCGGAACGAGTCGCTGACGGTGGGCTTGCCTTTGCTGGTTCCGCGCGACATGGTCGCCCCTCCGCACGCGCCCACGCGCGTTGCCGTGCATCCCAGCAAGTCCTACGCAAACAGACACACGCCTAGTGATGGAATATTGTAGGGAAATAGCGAAATATCGATACATCGCGAAACTTTTTGATGCCGACGAGGACATCCTGGAATATCGCTAAAGTCCCGCTAAAGTCCCGCATAAATATCGATAAAATATCGATAAAATATCGATAAAATATCGATAAAATATCGATAAAATATCGATAAA